CATTCAGAAGAGACAATAAAAAGCTAAAAAGGAAACAAAAAGACCAGAACACCACCTCGCCAGCAATCAACACCCGGATAAACAGGGATTAACACCAGGATTAACACCAGACAAACAAGCAGTAATCAATACCCTAATAAAAGAATTACCAACTCAGACGAACAATCAAGCAGTAAACAGTGTGATCAAGGAACTACCAAGGAGAAAACAACACCCCTACCAACACTGACAGGGCAAGCTACTGTATATAAACAGAGCAAACCTCACTTCTAGCACTGAAGATGTTACCTAGTCGAGTAATGAAACATCTGCATGAAAACAACCACCGGTCAAGTATTTTATGAAAAGTTTAATGCATTTGTATTCTCCTTTTTCTCCCTAATGTCAACTTTGAGTTTGTTGTTGGTTTTATATAGGGTGGTATTTGTTAAAATTACATCCTGCCTTTCTTCAGAGCTCAAGGCATTGTATCTGGGATCTCTCTTCATTTTCTCCCCACAACAACAACCTTATGAAATAGATTGGGCTGAGAGACTTGAATCTGAGTTATGTTAAATTCATTTAAATTAGGAGCTCCATGTGCAAAACTGCATTTTTGATTGTCATACCATCATGAATAACTTCCTTGTTCCATATTAGGATGATTTAGAACCCCAAACAGTTTTGAATACTCCAGACATAGGAAATGGTGAGATTAACAAGCCTCTTCAGCTGCAAAAATCAGGACAACCATCAGATGGCAGTAAAGTATAGAAAACTCAAACTCTTTAGTGTCATTTAGAGTCATCCAGATTTTTGCAGTCCAGCTCTGCTATCCTTCCTTGAATGCAGAACAGTAATTTGCTCTGCAGTATAGATATTCTAATGGAAATGAACAGATCCACGGTGAAAATCTGTAAAGAATTAAATTGTGCATACTTACGTTAAACAATTTTTCAAGGTCTTTGCTTTACTTATTTATGAGTGTTCAGAGTGATTTAATGGGAGGAAAACTTTTATACAGTGCAAAACAAAAATTTTAAGAAATAGTATTCCTTATGTAATATTTAAAGGGTTTGCTAAGTTTATATGTAACTTTTTATTTGTCCTGAATGTTTTGTTTGTATACAAATTGGATGAAGAATAAATCAGATGATAACTCTTTAATTAGTGCTAGCTTTTAATGTAAATATTCAAAAATCTTGCATAGCCTTTTTCCAAGCTTTTGAATTTTCAGTCTGTACTGAAGTGTCAATAGAGAGATGAGATGGCTTGGGCTTCTGCAAATTGAGCTCTTTCATAGTGGGAGGCTGGAATAATGCACTGAAAAGAATGTCATTTTTAAATGCTCTCAGATTACTCCTACCTTTTAATGTAAGTTAAAGTCTAATTATGATGGGGGGGGCGTTATGTTGGTAACATGCCACAAATAGAATTGTTGCCCATAAGTTTTGTCTGGATAATATTATCTTCCTATGTCCCAGTGTGATAAGATCAGATCTACCACATTCTAGAATACAGTTGCAGAGTATGCCACAAGGGGGCATAAGTTCCAGACCATTATTTACTTCTATAGGAAAGTTTAACATTCTTATGAGCTTGAATGAAGTTGTGATGGAGTGAAATCTGTTTCTTGGAAGTGGTTTGCCATTGCCTCCTTCCTAGGGCTAAGAGAGAGGAACTGGCCCAAAGTCATCCAGCTGGATGTGCCTAAGGCAGGACTAGAGCTCACGGACTCCCATTTTCTAGTCTGGTGTCTTAACCATTGTACCAAACTGGCTCTCATTCCTGTTCTTAGGCTGATCTAAAATTCAGAGACAGGGACTCTATCAAAGAG